AAATAAATTTTTAGCACATGGTATAGAAAAGTCCAGTGACAAGAGCAACAACAGATTGTAATGAGAAAGTATAAAACATATATGTTACCAGTATGACATAAAAAAAATATGGACTTTAAGTCTACCGGGTCTTATCATGATAATTAAGAAGCTAATCACACCTTTCAGTAGAATGAAGAAGATGAAAAATATCCTCCAAAACCATAACAAAACATGTCCGAAAATCAAAAAACAAAATACTGAATCAACAAATCATTACTCAATAATCAATATTACATATTTTTCTTGAAAGATACGACTTCAGTTTTGCAAAATCATAACAAAACTTGTCTAAAATAAGAATCACACTTCAGTTTTGCAAGATAAAATTTGATGAAAATTTGTTTTAAAAACATGTTTTAAAGAAGAAAGAGGAAGAGAAAGAAGAGGAAGACATAAGCTTGAAGAAGAGAAAGAAAGAGAAAGAATAGTAAAACAATCAAACAAATATTTCATACCTTTAGGTCATCATAGTTCTTATAGTATTCATAATGTCCTGGATGCTGCCTGCAATTAAAGGACGAATATAATGAAGTTTACACTTCCAACAATTCAGACCAAAACAAATACACACAATAAAAATGCACAACCTACAATCAAAATAGATTGTTAAGTAAATAAGGCAATGTATCAAGTTAAAACATCATATTTTGCACAAAAAAAAACCACATTGATGTTGCATAACAACCATCTTCTTAAACCTCCATCTAATTCACCTTTTCATAACCATTTTCATAACAACCAACCTTTATCTTCCATAATGTTCATCATCTTCACCCACAATACTTCATCACCTTCAAGCATCAACCACATCAACAACTGAAACATACTCAACATAACACTAACAACACAAAATAAGCACTTATGAAATCGAAAAAACTGAATCACATTAAAATGGAATTTCAACTTTCAATTAATCTTAGTCTCTCCATAGTAGAAAAAAAGAAGTTGAAGCTATGTGACTTTTCAATCACAAGAAGAATAGTCATTTGTGTTTAGAAAATCATAACAAGGTAGAAATAACTTGTATCAAATAAATATGCATCATAGTCAATGAAATAACATGTATCAGATGAAAAATATTTTAGATAACAGGTTTCAAAAAAACTCAACATTAAAAAACTGAAACAAAATCAAGAAACATAAAAATATTGTTGAAGAACACAAAGAAATATAAATGTGCATTAAAATAAGTTTGCAAAACACCCATTAAAGAGAAATACAGACAAACTGGCTTACCATTTTACCCCATCTCAAAATATCTTAAAGAACGTATCACCACTTTCTTCCAGAACAAGTGATTCAAGAGCGAAAGTTCTAAAACCTTGCAGGTCTAGAACCATATCATTGAGAAGATACGAAACAACATATTTAGGATCGAGTTTGATTGCTTTTCGACATCGACTAGGGCTTCGTTAGTGAGGTTGTTGATAACATATCTAGATTTGTTTTTGAAAGATCTAGCTTGTATGGAATATCCTTGCAAGTATCATTACAATTTGAAAATCGATGTCGTGAATCATCGATTTGTTTCTTTCTAGTGAAAGAAACTGCTCAAAGAAAAAAGAAAAAAAAGGAAGAGGGAAGAAGAGAAGAGCAGTGGGAGAGAGAAAAGAAGAAAATGAAATGGATGAGTTTAAGACAACAAGGTTGTTGATTGTAATGAGTGTCATTTTCCAAATTTTAAAATTGTTAGTTCTCTATATTTAGGATTGACATTAATTTTAGTAAAACAAATATATCAGCAATATATTAAATAGGATGTGATTAATTGCTATGAAGAACCGGTTGAGCAAGAAGTCATATTTTATGAAGAACATGTTGAGTTGAAATGTTTCAACATCTAGAGAAATATGTAAGATAAGATATCCTATGCAGGATCATACGACATCGCGCCTGAGCTGAGCTGGATTGTTAGATTATGTTATGATTTAACAGATGCAGAATATTCTGGGAATATTATGAAATCCTATGTGGAAATGAGTTATAGGTCTAGAAGATTCAATCAGAATTCAAGAGGAAAATATACTTTCTAAATAAGGAGACTTTTTAGGAAAGATTTGATTGAAGACCTATTTTGTTGCAAAATCTTCTGCAGATTTGTAACAACTGGTATGTTGTGATTTGAAGCTCAAATCCAGTTTTGAAGAAGGTTATAAATAGAAGCATTATAGCTTAGAAGAAGGCACTAGCCAAAAATGTAATATTATTAGGATTGAGTCTGTTAGCCACTCTATGAGAGTTGGTATGTGTGATCCACTCGACATGTGAGTTGGACTGTGTTCCTTGAGTTGTAAGGTTTTGTTCTCCTCGAAACTATGAAGCAAGAGTGAGTATTGTTTTTAGAGAAAGTTGATAAGTAACTCCAAGTTGTGTTCTTAGTCAAGAGTCTTGGCTAGATATTATTTTAGAAGTGAGTATTCTAATATTTTCATAGAAGTGTGTCTTCTGGTTTTGCGTCATGGAAGTGTGTCTTCATGCTTTGATCCAATTGTTGTCCGTGATTGATGAGAGAGTTGAGGAGGGCCTCATATCTAGTGAGTCTTAGATAGAAAGTTAGCACAAGAAATGATTAAGTGAGAAGTTATAAACGGAAGAGTTTAGCTTCGAATTGATAATATTATAATGGACTTTATCCTTGGCTTAGTATGCCCTCAGAGTATAAGAGTTGCTCCGAACTAGGTTAACAATTCTGGTGTGTTATTTATGCTTTTCAGTACTGTTTTGTAAGTTTATACCTTGCCATGTTTGTTTTGCTCAGATTCAAATGTCTCAACATGTCATAGGACATCTGAAGTCTGATATACCAAAATTTCAGAAATAGAAGTACAAAAAGTTATAATGAATTTGTTAGTTTAGAACCAATGAGAGTGGAACAAATAAGCATGTAGTTGTAATTAAACAATAAGACATCATTGGTTAGAAAAAATAAATTTGGACCAAAGTTGCCCCCATTTTGGGGAGGTGGAAAATTTAGAGAAAAGTTCAATTGTGAGATTTCTAGAGCATCTAATTTTCTTATATTACTAGTAACAAACTCGTGTGTATGCACGAGTTCTGATCTGGTACGCATATTTGTTTACATAATATATTTATTTTAAATAGAAGGTTAAAAAAGAGAAAAAAAAATTAAGTCAATATAGATTTTTTCATATATAAAAATATTTAAATCAATAATAATTTTTTTCCATCGTTTACAAAAATATCTGGATCAATAGTAATTTTTCGTATATAAAAATATTTAGATCAATTACAGATTTTTTTTTTCTGTATACCATTTTTTAATCAAAAATATTTGGATCTTAAATATCATTCTTCGCATATAAAAATATTTAGATCAATAATAGATTTTTTCCCGTATACAAATATTATTTTTGTTTAAGTGTCGTTTACAAAATATATGGATCAATAGTAAATTTTAATATATATAAAAATATTTAGATCGATAATAGATTTTTTCTCGTATACCATTTGGGAATAAGATATATTTAGATCATAAATATTATTTTTCGTATATAAAAAAATTTATATCAATAATAGATTTTTTGTAGTATACAAATATTATTTTTGCTTAGGTATCGTTTACATATATTTAGACCAATAGTAAATTTTCGTATATAAAAATATTGAGATCAATAATAGATTTTTTTTTCCGTATACCATTTTTAAATAAAAAATATTTGAATCATAAATACCATTTTTCGTATTTAAAAACATTTAGATCAATAATATCTGAATCAATAGTAAATTTCGTATATATATTTATATCAATAGTAGATTTTTTCCCCTATATCATTTTTGAATCAAAAATATTTGGATCATATATACTATTTTTTCGCATTTAAAAACATTTAGATTAATAATAAAAAAATTTCGTATACCAATATTGTTTTTGTTTAGGTATCATTTATAAAAATATTTGGATCACTAATATATATTTTTTTCATATAATGAAGCATTTTAGATCAGTAATATATTTTTTCCCATATACAAATATTATTTTTTTAGTGCTTAAATCAATAGTTTCATTTGTCTTGGACAATTTGTATCTTATGATGTTAACATTGCATATTTTGTCTAGATTGTGTTATGCAATTTTTGAGCATGCTTAATCATGTTCATCTGCAGAGAGTGACTCTGAATGCAAATGCTTGGACTAATGGTGGTCATTCTTTGAATCAAGTTTATGACATATTCGATGACCTAACAGAATAAAATAAGTATAAAAGCAATTATACCATGTCGAAGCAAAGTACATGAATATCTGTACCGTAAAAAACAATTATCAAACTCATTTAATCAATATTCAAATGGCGTGTTAGCTTTTGCCGTAAAACACTCATTACTCCATGAACCAAACAAAAAGGAGGATAATCTACTCATTGTTGCCAATCCAACGTCGGATTATCAATCAAGGCCTTAATCTTACTGTCTTCATCAGCATTGTTAGTCTTCATCAGATTTATGTGCACAGTGCAGAGTATTTAATTGATATCAAAAAGGGGTTGTTTCAGGTACTGTCAAGGTCCTCGAAAGTCATAGTAATTCCATTGTCCGTCCCCTATTATCCAGAGACACAAACAAAACATGAAAAATATAATTTGATTAGGATATTGTCATAGACACTCAAAGTTAAGAGGAAATCAATCACATAACTTGGTAGTTTTCCGTGATCAACTGAGTTCTTTGAGAAAATTTGGGAGGATTACCACCCTTAAGTGGTATGATATTTGTAACCTGAGACCCCACTATATTGAAGAGATTATTGCATCATTAATGTGTCAAGCAACTTGTGAAATCGTTAATTAGAATTTTATAGCTCATAGGAAGCACAACACGGTTCAAGATTATTGCATTGTAGTATTTATATAAGACTTGTGATATTGTAAGCCCTAAATACAAAAGTTGTTCAAACCTGTTCAAAATACAGAAGCTGTACAACAGATCGAATGGGAAGTCATTCATTTCGTGCTGCGTTTGATGATGCGTCTGCAGTTAATTTCTTGACATTTATTAGTCCAGATGTGTTCTTCAATTAAGATCTTGTCAAACTTTAGTGCTCCTGAAAATGATAGACTCAAACGAATTCAAGTGGAATAGCATTTGATTCAAGTGAAATGAAAATACGTAATAATAAATCTAGCTTAATGGATGATCTATCAATAAGTGATTAAAACTGAAGTAGAATGTGCTGCAAATAAATTCATACGCAGGATTAAAATACTACCGAAACTTTGGTTTCACAATTCTGGCCTTTACTTATGGTAAGCATTAAAATATTTGAAAAGAGTGATGTTCTTAAAAAAAAATCCTTAGGCAATGGATATAGAAATAAAGTAGAACAATATGCTGCAAATAAATTCAATGGATCCCTATGGTGTTATTTGACTCATCAGTTTATGGCATTTCACAGTAGCCTATGTAATCTGCTCAAAACTATCAGTTGGCAGTCCTGTAAGGTGACCAAGTTCACATTCATTAGTACATTTTTGCTAGTTAAGAATCACATGGATGGAACTTGGAAGATACAAATTCACATGAAACATATCATTTTTGCTATTTAATTTGTCTGTAAAAAAGTGAGATTCAAAAATATTTTGATGAAGTAAAATTCAAGAAATGAGAAAATCTAGCCCCACACAAAGTTAAACATGGATTACCTGACAGTTCACAGTTCTGACCAGTAGTATGGATCTCATCCACATAATCTGATAGCTTGCACAATTCTGAATCCGTGAACTTTCTCTTGGTCAGATGAAGCCAAACAATTACTATTCCGTAAAAATCAGATGAACCCAAAAAGTTTTCTCCATGGATCCAAGCAATCCCCATCACATGAAACAGATGACCATGCATCGTAAAAATTATTGTCATTTTCTATTTCATTGTAACAACAATAGCTTTACCTTCGATGGAGGAACAAACTCCATAAATTCAACAAACTAAAACGATAAAGTTCTACATAGAAATTAAAAACAATAAATTATTTCCATGACAGAGGAACAAACACCATAAACTCATTCACTACAGTTCTATGGCACAAATTCACAAGAACCAGGAGGCCTGAATTAACACAATAATAGTAATAAAAAAAAGTAGTAGCAGCAGAAATACCTCAGGAGGCATGAGAGTTTTTGGAATAACCCTACAATTTCACAGTGATATCGGTTGGAGCACAAGGAAGATAAAATGCAAAATGAATATTTACTGATAGCTTTAAAAATAAGGATTTACAATGAATTACAATAACCTACTCCACTAGATTATTTATACACATAAATTAAATCTAAAATATATCTTCTACGAAGATAAAAGAAGATCTAAGATTTATATCTTCTAACAAAGATATAAACAATCTAAAAGATATTCCTAAATATAAACTAATATCTAATTAAATCTAAATCAATTCTAACACCATCCCTTAATTTATATTTACCCAAAACTGACAACACCAATTTCATCCCTTAAACCAAGAAATTGATCAGTTTTGATAGCCTTTGTCAGAACATCTGCCAACTGCTTCTGAGTGCTATAGTACACAACCTCTATTATTCCATTCTGAACTTGATTCCTCAGAAAATGGTACTTGGTCTCAATATGCTTGCTTCTCCCATGCAACACTGGATTCTTGGCAAGATTGATTGCAGACTTGTTATCAATCATCAGTTTCAGAGGTTTATTTACCTCAATCTTTAGATCTTTCAGCAAGTTCAGAATCCACACAACTTGACATGCTGTCAGAGCACCTGCAATATATTCAGCTTCACAGGTTGACAGAGCAACAACAGGCTGCTTCTTAGAACACCAAGAAATAGGACCTCCCAGAAATTTGAATAAGTACCCAGAAGTACTTCTTCTGTCAACTCTATCTCTACACCAATCAGAATCAGAATAACTCAGAAGTTCTGATTCGATCTTTCTTCCAGACGGAAATAACACTCCATATTTCAGAGTTCCCTTCATATATCTCAGAATCCTGACTGCAGCTTGGTAATGAGACCACTTTGGTTTGCTCATAAATCTGCTAATCATTCCAACTGCATAGCAAATATCAGGTCTGGTATTACACAAATATCTTAGAGAACCAACCATCTGTTTGAAGGTTGTAGCATCCACATCCTCTCCATCAGAATCAGAATCCAACTTCTGATTCGTATCAGCAGGTGTGATAGCAACCTTGCAATTTTCTAGCTCAAATCTCTTCATAAGCTTTAGTTCATACTTCATCTGATGTAAAATGATTCATTTCTCATAGTATATAAATTTCATCCCTAGAAAGAAACTCATTTTTCCAAGATCTATCATCTCAAACGCATTCATCAGAACTTTCTTGAACTCAGCTATCTCTTGTTCAGAACTTCCTGTGAGTAATATGTCATCAACATACAAACAGACCTGAATCATATTACCTTCTGAAGTATGCTGAACATAAACACCATACTCCATCTCACACTTCTGAAACCCTTGTTCCTTGAAAAACAAATCAATTTTCAAGTTCCAAGCTCTGGGCGCTTGCTTCAATTCATACAATATTGTGTAATTTGAACACCATCCCTTCCTGAGTCTTTTTCTCAAATCTAGGAGGTTGTGAAACGTACACCTCTTCTTGTAATGGACCATTCAGAAATGCATATTTTACATCTAAATGCATCAGAGGCCAATTCCTGTTGGCAGCTATTGCAATCACTAGTCTGATTGTTTCATGTCTCGCTGCAGGTGCAAACACTTCAATGTAATCCAGCTCAGGCTTCTGTAGGAAGCCTCTTGCTACTAATCTCACTTTGTGTTTGCCAATTGATCCATCTGGCTTTAGTTTCTGCTTGAAAACCCATCTGACGCTGATGGCTTTCTTGCCTTTTGGAAGTTCTGTCAACTTCCAAGTCTTATTTCTCTCTATAGCATCAAGTTCTTCTTTCATGGCCTGTAACCAAACTTGCTGCTTAAGAGCCTCTTTCGTACTCACGGGTTCAGAGTCTACTAAAATTGCACACTGAATAACTTCTCATTCAGAGTTTACTTCAGTGTCTATCAACATATGTCCAACTCTGCAAATCTTCTTGGGATTCTTTTGACTCTTTGTTACCTCTGAAATGGACCTTCAGAACTTTGGACACCAGAACTTTCCCCTTCAGAAGCACTTGCTTCAGCAATTGGACTTTCTCAAGAACTTTGACTGTCTTCAGAGTCTTGAAAATTCCCAGGGTCTGAATCATCATCAGAGTCAGAGCCACTACCTTCAGAAATACCATCTTCAAAAGTTGGATCACCTCTGCCTTCAGAAGTTCCACTTTCAGAATCATGATCATCGTCAAAGGCTGAATTTTCTTCAGAAGATCCTCCTTCAGAAGTTCCACTTTCAGAATCATGATTTCTACCAAAAACATGATCATCTTTATAAGCTTGTCCTCCAGAACCTACGTCTTTAGAGTTTTCCCTTCTAGAAGCATGATCACCACCAAATTCTGAATCATCATCAAAATCTGGATCATAATCAAATTCACCATCTGACTCACCTTCAGAGTTTCCAGAGACATCATCTTCTGACTCTTCTTCAGAAGCAACATCTTCTTCAGACTCAGAATCACCTTCGAATTCTGACTTGTCTTCAGCTTCAGAGTCATCTTCTGACTCTAACTCGTCTTCAGAAACCTCATATTCTGACTCATCTTCAAAATCTTCAAAGTCATCATCTGATTTTAACTCAGTCATATTCTGATTCTGAATCATACAAAATCACTCCTTCAGAGTCATATTCTTCTTCCCCTTCAGAATCATAAAATGACAATTTCACTGGTTCCTCATCAGATTCATAAGCCATAAGTAGCACAGGTTCATCATCTGAATCTCCTCTGGCTACGTTTGCTTCTTCAGGCTTCCTTTCTTTGTTGGACCAGCAATCTCTGGCATAGTGACCAAAGTTCTTACAACAGTAACACTGAACATTCTTCTTGTCAGACTTCTCTTTTCCCTTCTGGAAATTCTTCTGCCTATCAGAGTTTGAAGCTTATGACTTTTGACCATCATTAGTTTTTTTCCTGGATTCTGACCAAGTCTACTTCTGATGCTTCTTACCAGAAGTTACCTTCAGAGCCTGCTGCTATACTTCCCTCTCAGAAGTTCTTGCAGTCATACGCAACTCATGCGCCTCTAGACTACTTTGCAGCTCTTCAACTCTCATGGTGCTCAGATCTTTGGAATGTTCAATTGCTACAACAATGTAATCAAACTGAGAAATTAAAGATCTCAAGATCTTCTCAATAATTACTTGTTCAGACAGAGTTTCTCCACAAGTTTTCATCTCATTAGTAATCAGAATCACTCTAGAGATGTATTCAGAAACCTTCTCGTTGTCCTTCATGTTGAGATTCTCATATTGCTTTCTGAGAGACTGAAGCTTCACCTTCTTCAATGATGCGTCACCACCGTAACATCTGACCAGTGTGTCCCACGCAGCCTTTGCTGTTTCAGAATCAGCAATCTTCTCAAACACGTTCACATCCACACATTGATGGATGTAGAACAACACTTTCTGATCTTTCTTCTTCAACGCCTTCTGTGCTATCTTCTGGGCCTCTGTTGTGTCTGCTTCTAACAGATTATAGCCATCAGTGACAAGATCTAACACATCTTGAGAACCAAATAACACGCGCATCTGGATCTTCCAACGATTCCAGTTTTTGCCATCAAATACTGGAAGCTTGGAATGAATATCGTTGTTTCCGTTCATCTTCTACTTTGCGCAATTTACACAGAAACTCAATGAAAAAAGAACGTTTCCCAAATTCCAGAGTTTCTAACCAGGAGCTCTAGATACCAATTGTTGGTGCACAAGGAAGATAAAAGGCAAAAGGAATATTTACTGATAGCTTCAAAAATAAGGATTTACAATGAATTACAATAACCTACTCCACTAGACTATTTATACACACAAATTAAATCTAAAATATATCTTCTACGAAGATATAAGAAGGTCTAAGATTTATATCTTCTAACAAAGATATAAACAATCTAAAAGATATTCCTAAATATAAACTAATATCTAATTAAATCTAAATTAATTCTAACAATATCAATCAATAACAGTACAAATCTAACAAATTGTTAACAATCATTAGTAACACAAAGCTTACACAATTAGGTTATACGATTCAAGATTCAGTCGTAGATGAATAGTAGGACATTATATTGAAACATACAAACTTCTTTCATGGAGAGGCATCTCGCTTTTCTTTGACACCCTTGTCGCCATCCTCTGCTGCTTCACTCTATTGGAAAACTTCTCCCACTCTTTTCCTCCAAACAGATATAATAATATGCAAAAAACTAACAATCACAAAAAAAACCATAATCTAATAATCTGCAAAAATAAACCCTAATCACAGACAACTGCATTTTCATGAGTTTTAACATATCAACCCCACTTGATGTTTTCTCCGACGTGAGCCTTCTTGCTGCAGACTGATTCGCACACCATTCTTGTTTTCGATTCTCTTTTGCGACCATGAAAGATCTGCCATCTTCAATCTCATCGTCCCATCATCAACGCCCAATCACCGTGAATCCTCGGGAAGAACCATAACACCACTATTGGTTTACACTTCACATCCACCTTCTCAGAAACAATGTCACAGTTTCACCAGAAATGGGGTTAGGTACAGAGAAGAGAAACTGAAAAAAGTTGAGACAAAGAGATGAAACGCAGGGAATAGAGTGGTGTCTTCAAATGACAGAGAAGTGAGGTTGCGTGTGTGCAAGAATGACATGATTTAGAGGACAAAAAAGACTTATCTTGGGGAATGGTGAAACTGTTCACGCAAATAGTGGTTTGAAATTCAAATATTGTACTTTTTCAGTTAACATTTAGTTGTAAGTGA